CCCCCCCCCCCCCCCCCCCCCTTGTGCACTATGTGCATGGCGGAGACGACGGGACACGCGATAAGTGCAATACGGGTTGGTGTAAATTACCCACGATTGGTGCGAAACATCTGTTTTCTACCTACCCGCCGTGAGGTTGTACTCTTAGCACCACGCGTTCGTATGTACCGTGTCTGTTTTGCTTGCTTGTTTGCATGTATGCCTTGTGTTGTAGTTCGCCTTTATTCGTGTTCCCTAGGCGGTGACAACGTTACGTCTCGCTGTGGGTGGCGGCCCGCTTCACCGTAACCAGCCTACCCCAACCTACACGTTTCCGAACGACACGTGCCGCGCGAACGAAACCCATCTTCCAAACCTGCCTGTTTGCCTCTTTATTCACGTTCTTGTTGCGTGGCATTGCAGATGTTGAGGGTGTTCCCCAACGTGTGTATCCTGCGAGTGCGAATGCCTATCTCGGATGACCTGAGCCCGCGCAACTTCATCACCAAGATCGTCAAGTACGACAAGGTAAAATAGGGTATGGTATGGTGTGCTGCCGCACACGATGCTATGGTACACGGCGGACCGCCATGATGTCAGGACGCCAACGGTAGCACGATGTCGCTGCTTCACCACTTGACTGCGGTTGTGTACGAAGACAGTTGCATTTGTGAGGCAGCCTTCTTTTGGAACATCTTTAATCGTCGCTTTGTTAGATTCGTTCTGTGTGTAGCGGCAACTTCGTCGCCGCACATGAACGAATCGCCAACGCATGCGGCGAGTATCTCAATAGCTCGCCGCAGGCGTCAGCTATACTTTGAAAATTTTGCCATGCGTTGGAAATGGCTTGGTTTTGAAGCGAGGCTCCGGGTGTGTGTGGTCTACGGTGTGCCGCTACATTTCCCGGCAAGCGCCTGACTCCCTCGACCTCAATGGCTACGATGCGACACACCGGCCGTTCTGGTGGGAGGGGAAGGTGGTGGTCAGACGTCGACCTAACTAACACGTAGTGGATGCGTCACGTTGAAGATTTATCCCTGACGGTGCTCGCAATATTCCGTGCTGCACGGCAATTTATCTGAACCTACGTGGTAGGGATCACGAACCGGAACAACACATGCGGAAATTTCGAGTTTGGTGGTAGACGAGTACATCGCCTCAATTTCGCCCGGGCCCCCAACACCTCCTATGGTTGTCATTCTTGTTCTTTTCAAGGTGGTGAACATCCCAAACTCCATGACGGTGCTCACAGACCTCCTGCCGGTGTCGCTGGTAATGGCGGACAAAAGGTTGGAGGTATGCTCGCTCCTGATCACGTGCTGTGTGCGTACCAAGTTCCCACCCTGCATTGCTTATCTCCCAACTTCCGTTATAGGCGGTGCCTCCGTGGTAGTTTTCGATGCTGGTGGTGCTGACTTGACCCCGAAACCGCTGTGTGTACTTATTATATTTGCCTGTCTTGGGCACGTAGCTGTTTCCCCCCCCCCTCATAGGAGTTATGTGGGTCGCCTTAGCAGGTTTTATGGTAGCCTGTTCAGCGATTAGGTTGGTAGATAGTTCGAATCTTGCCGGCGTGTTTGGTCCTGATTTCGTGCCTAGTAGTTGAATGTACTTGTTCGTGAGAACACAAGCTTGCGGGAAGGATAGCTGCACCCTTGCCGCGTTGGAAATGGGAGACAAGCGCGCCAAGGGTTCTTCTTCGTGCATCCAAGTCGGGGTTGTTCAGTTCGAGCCAAAGGCGTAGGGTAGAGAAACTGCGAGTACACAGCATCACGAAAAGTAAACAGCGAGTGCATGTTTTTCGGAAGTACACAAGCGCTTGTTTTCCGAAAAGTAGACCAGTGCTTATTTTTGCGGGTTTTGAAGTTGTGAAGCTGGATAAAATCGGCGACCACGAAGCCCCCGTCATGGTGCGCAAGAAGTGCACCGACCCAAGTGGCAATGTCCTTGTTTGCTTGCCCCTTTGTATTTTTGCTCATAAGACGGTGTAACCGAGGCAACATACCTACCTCACAATTTTCTGTTTTTTTCCTTTGGTTGCGTTTTTTGGTTGTGTGCATCCAGGGGGTGTACAACTTCTGTAACCCGGGAGCGATCAGCCACAACGAGATCCTGGATATGTACAAGGAGTACATTGACCCTTCGTACACCTACACTAACTTCACGGTTGAGGAGCAGGACAAGATTTTGGTCGCGGGCCGATCGAACAACACCTTGGTGAGTGTGGTACCAGGCACCCGCTGCTGCTGTTTCTCTGTGCGTTTTTCAAGCGGTGACGTCCGTCACGGTTGTTGTTGCCGCCTCCTCCCGTACCCCTCCCGATGTGTCGATGAGACGATGACCGACATTGCATACAGTGTACGGTGAACTACCAAACGACAGCAATGTGCGCTCACGATGCCACCAAACCCGAACGTCAATCGACACCTGGGCGTTTTCTGTGTTTTGTTTTGGCTGCCGCAAGACATACGCTGCGGAGGGCATACCCTGGCCCCTGCCTTGCTCACGGATGTTTCAAACCTTGTCGCTACCGCGCGTGTTATCCTTGAGACCGACAAGATCCACCCGAACACACGAACGATACGCAGCAACATTCTAACAGCACGTCCTGAGTAGTATAAGTGTCGGGATCGTTCTTGCTGATATTGTTACAGAACGTGCTACTATGATACTAACTTCAGCACTGCTAGCGCCAGCATTGAAAACGCTCACAGGGCGTATCACAATCCCCGATACATCGGTCAGAGCACAAGGCTTACCGCCGACGACCACCAAAGGTGTATCACCAGCGAAAAGTTGACCACCCACCCACCGTCAACGACAACACCTCGTGAACGCTATCGAACGTGCTCATTGTCATGCTGCCGCTGCTTTTGGTCTTCATTCATTCAGGACGTGTCGAAGATGGTAAATGCTCTCCCTGAGATGGAAATCAAAGAGATCCACGTCGCGATGCAGGGGGTGTTCAAGAGAATGAAAGAGAACCTCACAGCGGAGGGCATCATCCCCGACAAGCTGCCTAAGCGCTCGTGAAACAGCAAACCATAAATCAATAGGATGCTAATAGCAGGCAGCAGCCAAAGTTGGGAAGCAGGTAGAGAATTGTTTCCCTGGCGGAAGCATGCATTCGATATTTGTGCGTCTTGAAATTGCGTGAGAGGACAACTGTTCGAGTCTCTCTGTTTCTTTCATCCTCGAGAGCATGTTTTATTGACAAGCGTGATTCGAGGTGGCCAAAATCTGTAACCCAGTTGATATATCTCTACACATGCCTATCTTCTTCGTAGCTCGCACCCGTTTATGGTAGAGCGGGGGAACATCATGATCCCCAACGTGCCCCTGTGGACCCAGGCGATTGAAAGTGACTGAATTGTTGTTGTTGTTGTTGTTGTTTCTCACATTAGCTCTATAGTCCACAAAAAATGGGGAGCCCGTGGTGTCAAAACCCGGCACATACGACCCCGCGAGAAAACGAAAAAAACAAAAATAGGGTACAAACCACTCGGAAAAAGAAAAACAAAATGATAAAAAGAAAAGAACAGGTGTCGCACCGACCGTTCGAGAAAAGAGCCCTCGGACACCGATCAAAATAAAACAAAACAAAAATAAAGGAGGACGCTTCCCACACCCGCCCAAAGAAAAAATCAAAGGGTAACGTACCAGCACCAGGCACCACGCACCAGGGCATGGGAGTAACGGAGCAAACAGGGCAAAGAGGCGGCAGATGGGCAGACAGTCAGACGTACAAAAGCAAAGGCAACAGCAAAGCAAGATCAAGGTACCCAACACAGAGAGTAGGCAGGGAGGTCATGAAAAAAGAAACACAGCACAGAGGCCGAAGGCAATACAAAGGACATACATAAAGGAGTATAGAATACAGCAGGGAGGGAAACAGGGCGCAACATCAGCCGGGTACATAGTTCGCCACAAGCGCTGCCTCGGCCGCCCTACTCGCTTCTACGAATGATGCGGCTCCATGATTCCTTGAGTCTTCTATTATTTCGAAAATAGATACACAGAAAGACTTGGGTCTTCTGTTATTGTTTCGATGCTGCCGCGCCAGCATTTTTGTATCCAACTGCTGTGATTGCGGAAGGAAGATGTGATCGTGCGTTCAATTCACTGGTGGTAGGGTATACCAGTTTTTGGTGTTTTGTAGTGATTGCCACATCAACGTCTCAGACTCTGCAGGCTACCGGCGCTGAGCTGGTGCACGAGAAATGCGTTAAATGTTGTTGATATTTATTCTGTACAGTCGACCCCGCTTTAGGGACGCATATGGCTTTTCCCGAAAAGAAGCGTCCTTAAAGCGGGTTTGCGTCCTTAACCCTTTGGAGTCTTCGGCCGGTCTGAGTGATCATTGATTGATCAT